TCCAATTTAAGTTAAAATTTAAGAATTAAAAAAAATTCGGGTCTTATCGAGTATTGTTCGGGTCGAATTCAGATCTCGGGTTCAACCATGTGTGTTCGGGTCAGGTCTCGGGTCCGGCTGGACCCGACCCATTGCCATCCTAAGTAGAACTGTTGCGTGGGATAAACTTCCTACCATAAGGTCAGTGAGACATGCACACATTCTTTGAACTATGAAGTATTTGATACTATAAAATTTTGAATTTTAGGTCACGAACAAGTTCAACAATATTTTTTGGGTCTAATTTTTATGTTTATGAACCCCTTCAAAGTTACATTTTGGAGTTGCAAACTGGATTATCCGCTACATTGTTGGAACTATAGAGTATATTATTTGTACTTTAAAATTCTAATTTTAGTTTACAAAGAGCGACCAGACGAGTTTTTTTATTTCGATAACGTGGGAACCCGCACCCGCTACCAGAAAGTGCACACCGGGTAAACCTCAGGCCCAAGACTAGACAAGTTCTTTGAATGATAGGTGGAGTATTTTAGCAAATTTATTCACTCTCAGGATTGGAGTCAAATTTTATCACTAGTTTTAATGTTCTATTTTATTTATCTTAAAAAATATCAAATCAAACACTTATTTTTTATTTATTATATTACATTAAAATTTAATTTATTATATTTGATGTGATATTTTTTGAAAAATAAATAATGCAAAATGAATAAAAATGTGTTGGGTAAACAAAGATCTCTCAAATTGTATAGTGCTTGTAAATTTTCCAAAATACAATATATATCTAAGTTGTGTAACTTAATAAAACATTTATTTATTTTCAACTTCCGCACTAACTCAAATAGAAATATTATCTCCGTCTGGCTCTAATGGTCTCATTTACCTTTTGCGTTATTGTACTTAAAAATATCTTTATATTTGTATAATATTTTGCACAAATGTCATTATAATAGTATTATAAGACACTAATAGAAGTATTTGTCATTTTCCCTTAATTTGTATTATGTTTTTATATAATAATTAATATTCAAAGATCAACATACAAAATATAAACAGGATCCTTAGAGTCGGAGAGATGTAGCATTATTTTAATAAAAAAATTATGCCCAAAATTTAACAAAACGCACCCTTGTAAACAAAATAATACAAATATTTTGTTGATTTTTTGTCCAAATAGGTCCATCCCATTTTATAATACAAAACACACTCATTCAGCAGCCCAATATACCTTGGCCCAGGCCCATTCTATAGGTCTGCGACCCAAGCCCATGCCTGGACCCGCAACCCTTGCCTCAACCCGGTTCCCTGAACCGCTGCTCCAACCCAACTCTAGGATCCGCATTTTTTTGAAAGGTTTCATCTCCTCCTTTGGATCTAGGTCTTGCATCTGAGCCGTTCATCATATTAAACTCTATTTATATATTTAGTGAGAGCATTCATTCGACTTTGACACTTTCTCTCTCGAGAACTATTTCCCTCTCTAGTTTCTTCTCTCACTCATGACCCCTGTTCGGCTATTTTTTCCGGTGGTTCTACGGCAATGCCTTCCTCATGTTTGTGTGTAGTTTTTTGGTGTGATACTCCCTCTATTTGAACCAACAACATGACACGGAATTCAGATCCTACATTTTTTTATATAAATTTCGAACTTTTGGATAATATACTATAAATTCGAATCAATTTAAAATCTAATATATTAATATATTTTATTATATATATTTAAATTTTTATGATATAGGGGTTGAAGCGAGCTCCTCGGACATGGTACAACAAGATTGATGTGTATAGAATTTGAACCTTGCTCGCAACCATTGCAGGGAGTTGCTTCTTGTCCCCGACAAGTATAGCGTGGCGAAGCCCAGGGAGCTGCAAGGGAATACACGATTCGCACTCTTTAAGCTGTGCAGCTTCGTCGATTATTACCAGCTCGAGTGGCTGTTTCATTCCTTCAATGTATAGTTTCGCCGAGCTTGAAACAGTGCAGAATATTAAACATGCATTTTCTAGGCAAAAGTTTCGAATTTTCACTACAAAAAAATAGTATATTTGTAACGGAATTTTGTCCCTAAAGTTCACGTAGCTAAGGTAATTTTATCCCTAATTCCGTCTCTAATGTCATTAGTAACAAAAAAATTGAATTTATGGACAAAAAAATTTTGTTACAAAAATGATATTTTCTTGTAGTGTTTGAAAGATTCATTATCTGTTGAAAACTCGAGTGTTTCCAAAAGCTTCTTGAGTTGCGAAAGACAGTCGAGCCTAACTTTGCACAAACTTCTCATCGAACCAAGTAGCGCGCGCTTCAGCAGCTGCCCTTCATCTGTTTTCTTCTCGGCATAATCGTCGATTTCTTTTCCAAGCTCATGGAGCTTATCAACAACTCTAACTAAAAGATGTATCGAGGGGCGGATGCAACTTTAAATGATTCGTGTCACATGTCACAGTTGATTTTACTCCGCTAAAAAAAAATAAATTATTATCTAGTAACTGTGTTATTGTTAAAAATTTTCAGTATCTTATTTAAAATTTAAAGTGCTATTGTTATCCAATTAATTTAAAAAGTAGTGCCTTATTTAAATATAAAATGCCACCATTACCTATTGAATGTCAATGTTCCAAATAAAGTCGAAATCAATCATTTTTAAACCATGAAAGAGCATCGACAACAATATAAATTGTTTGTATGTTTCTTAATAAAATCGAGTCTTTTAATTCATTTTGGCTTTAAGTTAATATATTGTGGTATTAGTGAAAAATATTTCTAGATCTATATCTAGATGTATCATCTCTCAAAACATACCAAAAATACCAATGGTAATACTTGTTTTGACCGTCTCAGATGTAGATCATTCCGATCGAATCAATTAACCACATTATCGTCTTGTTGTATGTATTTATTGTCTTCTTAATTTTCCCAATTGCCTAACAATTTTTGGTATCTTTTGGTGATCTCTCTTGGTGATCTCTCTCTATATCTACTTACATATTAGTAATTTTTTTTCTTATGTTTATAATCATATTTCAAAAAAAAAAAAAAAAAACAAATTATATAGAGAAATGAAAATAGAAACAAATTATACGCGATGAATGGAGTATTAAAGTTTAAATATATTTTAATAGTTGTGGGAGTGTGATTACTGTTATAATTGCCTAGTATAATAGTATAAGAGAAATTAGGGATGGCAAGGGTGTATATGGTTGTTATCCTTACAATTTCTTTTTTATTTTATTTTATTTTATGAATTTTATGCTTTGTTTATTATTATAATATATATTTTTTTGTAAATAGGATATAAAAAATTGTATTAATAATATAAAAATTAATTTTTTAAAAAAAATTGTTGATTTTTTAGTAAGTGAATAAAATGTATATATTATATATAGTGTGTTAATATATGTATATATATTTTTTAATAATATTTATAGAGAATTTTACTATTAAAAAATTATACTCCCTTCTCCCTCAATTCATTATCTTCTTATTACTTTTAGTACAGATATTTTAGCATATTAATATTTTATTGAATTATACTACAAATGAAGTATGTAAAATTAATAACGTGATAATAAAATAGAAATATTTTTGTATTTATATAAGAGGTAATTTTAGTAAAATAGAAAAGTGAAGATTTTGAGTAGACAGAAAAAATATTATTATTCAAAAAATTATTTTATTTACTATTAAATCATAACAATATTTTATAAAATTATAGTACTCCCTCCGTGCCAGAACTAGAGTAAAAAGTACGGTAAAAAACTTTTTTGCCTTTCTGAGTGTATTATCGTAAAAAGTAGTGACAATTTTGTAATAATAATAAATAGTTTATAGTGATATGGTTATTTGTGAAAATGAGACTGTTGTTTTGGGACGGACAAAAATAGTAAACAAGACTATAGTATTGAGACAGTGGAGTATTATTTACGTGACAAAATATTATATTTACTTTTTAAAAAATTCAACTTTTCTAAATAATACTTCGATAATTCAACATATTTAGAATAATACTATTAAATAATTTATTAAAAAAAATATATAAAAGATAATGACATATTAAAAAAAAGCGTCAAAAATATCTATAATGATGCTACTCAACTTCAAGAAAACAAATAATAAAGAATACTATTCCTTCCCATGTAAATTGTCTAAGTAAAAATAATTATAATATAATAATAATTATAAATTTTTATTAAAATAACTAAATAATTTAATTAAAATTAAAAAAATTATAAATTATAAATTTTAATATGGAATTAAAATATATAACATTATTTATCTAAATTAGTAGGAGTGGCTGGGTGTACAAATCGACATTGAGAAATAAAAATATGTTAAGAGTACTTAGTACATAGAAATGAGAATAAAAAATTAAAGTATTATATTTTCTTTGTTTTTTATGAGACATAAAATTCAGATGTCATTAACTAATTATATCTATCTCTTATATATAGAGAAATTGAGAAAGTGCTTTGTTTATTTATTTATTTATTTTTATCTATCTTTTCCATTGAAGTTTTACGATTTAATTTGTGTTTATTTTACTATTTTCTATACTAGTATTTAATTTTTATGGTTTTTATATCATTCAAATCGCATAAAATATCGTATTTAAATTATTAAATTTAAAATATAACAAAAAATACAATAATATTTTTCATATCCAATTTATCATTTTTAATGATTGATTTAGTTTTTTTTTTTTCAAAATGTATATATATTTTTACATTTTCTAAACTTAATTATCTGTTTTATCAAAGGAAATAATCAATTCTATTTTTTTGTACTAAACATATAGTTAATTTCTTTTGTCTGTTGGAATCTAATAATAGAACATTTAAAAATATATTATTTTCTATTAGCTATTTTTATTCCCTTTCTTTGTAGGTGATAAGAGATAAATGAAAATTGAGCTCCTACACGGTCAGCCCCCGGACTCTATTTTCATTTTTCTTAATTCTTCTATATATTATAAAAGTGCAGTAAAAGTAAAGCAAAAATATTTAGAATAAATACCATACATACATGATTAAAATTGAAAAAGTACAATCATCATTCCAATATCAAATTAACAAACCTGCCAACTATTCTTACATGATAATAATATGAAATTATAATTGAATGCAACGACACTAGTATCAATCAATGCTTAATTGAATGGATCCGTATCCTAATTCCTCACGTTCTTCTTTAATCTGCTTTGCCCAACTTTTAATCGACTTACCACATCTACTAACTTTGATCAATCTAAGCTTGGGAATGTCAGCAAAGTCGAGAGGGTCAGGTAATTCTTCTAATATGAAAACATTGACGAAACTGTCAAACTTGAGTTCCTCAAGGCTTGGAAAGCTACCTTCCTCTGTTTTCCAATACTTCAAATCAACATAACCAACACACAATCTTTTCAATCGAACAAATTCCCCTTCAGTTACATTCCACTCAAGCCCTTTAACACCACGGTCTCCAATTACAAGAATTTCCAAATTGGGTAATGAACCAATGGCCACCATCTCACTCCACCAAATATTAGTACGCTGTATTCTCAACTTTCTCAGATAATGTCGGAAAGAAATGTCTTTAATGGAAACCATCGTCCCAAAAAGATCAAGTAACTCAAGCCTACACAAATGGACAAGATTCCTAACGCTATAGTATGGCCCCTCCTCCACATCTCCTGAAAAATAGCGTATTCTAAGTTTCTTCACATTCGGAATCCTCTTGTAAATCTCTTCACTACACCTAAAATCTCTCACATAAGATAGAGTTTGTAAGTTTTCCAAAGTACAACAAGACTGGGATTTTGGAGGTGGCTCAGGTAAAACAATACTAGTGAGAATATTTATATGCCTAAGTTGTGTCATCGTCCAAAACATAGATGGTAGAGTAATTGTTGCAGAAAGGTTATCTATGGATATAGTTTGTAGGTTCCAAAGAAATGGTAGCATTTTAAGTTTCTTTACCATGAGCTGTCCTGAATCAAAAGGAACGGAAAGATACCTGAATTGCACAAGATGCACAATTGACTCCACCAAATTGTTGTTTAACATATTCGAAGCTTGCGAGGACAACAATTCCCATAAGAGCTCACCATCCTCACTACGTAACCCCAACACAAACACAGCGGAGTTACTTGACAACTTTTCAACAAGGGTGAAGTTCTCCTTGCGGGCTTCCTTCAGCGACAAGTCTCGTACCAGATCATGGACACCACAATACTTTGCTTTACCTGAAACCCCTCTCTCGCGAACTAAGATAAGGTTTCTATCAATAAGGTGGTCCAAGTACTCACGTGCAACGTCTTCCAAAATCTTACCGTTTATGGGTTTTAGAAATCCCTCCGCAACCCAAAACTTGATGAGTTCAGAGACTTTGATTACCTTATCCTCTGGAAAATGTGACATACATAGGAAGCACGGCTTCAAACGAATCGGCAAGCAACTGTAACTCATACGCAATATCTTAAAGCAATGTTCCTCATTTTCCCAAGTTACAATTGCATTTAGATTCTCAGCAACTTGCTCCCAGCACTCCAATGTCTTTTCTGACCTTCTCAAAACTCCACCAATTACAGCTATTGCCAATGGAAGACCTCGACAACCTGTGGCAATTTTCTTTCCTATTTTCTCCAATTCAACAGGACAAACTTCCTCTGAGAATACTATATCACGCAACATAACCCAACTCTTGTGTTCCTCTAACAATTGCATTGCATAGGGAATGTCCGAGCCAAAATCAGCTGCAACACCAACCAGCCTCGTGGTCAACAAAACCCGACTTCCATTGCCATTGTCGGGAAGGAACCTTCTTAACACATTCCATGCCTCAATATTCCACACATCATCCAATACGATCAAGTACCTCCTCCCAAACAATCTCTTGTATACCAATTCTCCTATCTCTTCCTCACTTTTTTCTCCTATCCCACTTTCTGAAAGCTCTAAGAGAATTTCCCGCAGAGTGTATGTTTGAGAGATGGTAATCCAAACGCGAATGTCAAAGTGCTCAACAACCCAATCATTATTATAAACATTAAGAGCGAGAGTAGTCTTACCAATCCCACCCATCCCCACAATTGGGATGGTTTCCAGCTTGGATCTGCTGCCAGTGAGTTTGTCCCTGATTTGAACCAAAGCATCGTCCAGCCCCACCATAGGATTCTTCGCAGTTGGAGCTGCTTGTCTTGAATGAGCAGCAGCAACAATTGGAGGATTGAAGGATTTGAGATCCACAGCGACAATTTCATCTCTTACTTCCAACGCCCTTTCTAGCAGCACATCCATTTTTTGTATAATTGCTTGAATGTCTCTGGCGTAGGACGGCAGATCTAATTCCCCTAAATTAATGTATGGGCGAAGAACCTGGACCGACACAAAGTATTTGATGATACCCTGAGCAGCACGAGAGGCGTCCATGATTTGTGTCGCCAATGCGTCTGCAGCTTCTGATTTGCCGTGAAAGTCTTCGAGAAAAGCCATAAAGTAAGAGAGGCGATCGCGAAGCAACTGAATCTGCAGCTCGTCCAGACAATTATTCCAACGGCCAGAGGGACGCTGGATGTCGTGAAGAAGTTGGAGAAGGGAAAGGACAGCCGCGTAAGACGATGCCATGGATGAGGTGGATCGATCGATGGAGTAGCAGTATGAATGATGTTAAGGTAGAGAGTGAGAATGAGAAAGAGATTAAGGAAGGAGCGAGTCGTCTTCCAAGTCCACTCTCACTGATTATGATCAGCTTTATCGAATAATAATTTTGAATTAATAATTCCAAGTGGCACAATTAGATTCCCGTTCACTTTACTAATTAATAATTTTTAATTAGTAAATATTGATATATTATATTTTGAAAAAAATAAAAATTAATACATTTTTTATTAAAAAAAATCAACACTTTGATATTTTTATTATTTCTTTATTTATTTTAAATATTTTCTATAGATTAAACATATATATATTTTATTTTCTCAGTTAAATTGTCGTTTATATCCAGATATTTTAGATATTGGATAGTTAGTAAGTACTTAAAAAATATATTAGTAAAAATAATTATAAATTAAGATTAAAATAATTAATTAAAATAAAAAATTATAAATTATGAATTTTAAAATATGATTAAAATATATAATTATATTTTATAAAAAAAAATGACAAATTACGTGCTAACGGAAATAAAAATAATGGATAAAATTAAAGATATAATTTAATTGTCTAAGGCTTATTTACTTTCATTTGCTTGATGTGCTTTTTCGGAATGCTGAAAAGATATTATTACTAAGCTATTATAGTTCCATTGAAATTCTATTTTTTTTGTTTTTAGTTCTACTAAAAAAATTATCAAAATATCATTTTTTGTTCTACCATTAAAATTTGCATAATACAAACATGACCGTGGACAGCGGGAAAGATTGAAGAGGTTTATCTTGGTGAATGTGTTCGGACATCGGAGAAAATTCTCGCAGCAGCGATCGTTGGAAGAAATGATGGCGGAGGCAACAGATAGAAGGAGGAGGGAAGTGAGAGCGGTAATAAGTGAAAGTTTGTTGCGGTAATAATGAGAGAAAGTTAAGATATAAACATGGATGTGTTTGAACATATATCATTATTTGACCAGGTGATTGTTTGTTTGAATACAAGGGTGTTTTACATAATAACATCGTGTTGTATCCAAATCAACGTCATTTCAACTTACGTCGATAAATAAAATTTTGAATTGTCTACTTTTGATAATTTTTTTTTGAGTAGGACTAAAAATAAAAAAAAAAAAAATTGGATTTTGGAACTACTTTTGATTTTTGCTCTTTTATTTATTTATTACTCCTATTATTACTTTTTTTCTTTTAATATGCGTTGATATTCTAGCCCGGAACGATTTAGTTTTAACTCATTGTCCGACTGTCCGACCCGATCCAACCGACAACATGACCCGTAATTCAGATCCTACATTTTTTTTTTTTTTTATAAATTTTGAACTTTTGGATAATATATTTGTTGATGTATTTTTTTCAACAAACAAAAAGTAAAATCCGAAAATAGGAAATTATTTTCGAACTTGATATATTTAGCGTCTGCGATTAAAAATCTCTAAACACTGTACGGTACAGAAAATTAACTGGAAATTTAAATAATGATCCCGGAATCACTGACTTTATCGTCGTTTGAAGTTGATTGAAGATGAGATGTCAGTTGCAAATTTTAATCCTTAAATACTCTTCAGAAACGTATTGGAAACCGTCGTCCGAACGGTTATAACGCTTCTTTTTCAACCGTCTGCTAACCCCTCTCCTGCTGACACGTGCCCTCTGCCGACCGAAATTATCACTCTCATTCACTTTCAACAGTGTCCGACCTCCATACCAACCGATCTGCCTATCCAACCACGAATCGGCTGACTCTTTGGACCGACCGCAGACCTTCCGTCCTTCTTGGACCGACCGCAATCCTTCTGCCTTGTTGGTCCGACCGCCAACCTTCCGACTTAAAAATCACCCGACTTGTGGGTCCAGCCGCAAACCTCTCGACTTACAGACCATCCGACTTGTTGGTCCAGCCGCAAACCTCCCGACTTATAGACAATCCGACTTGTTGATCCAGCCGCAAACCTCCCGACTTGTACATCATCCGACTCACTGACCAACCGACCTGCGAACTTTCCGACCTGCGGACTTTCCGACCTGCGGACTTTCCGAGCTATAGACCTTCCGACCTGCGGACTTTCCGAGCTACGGACCTTCCGACCTGCGTACCTTCCGAGCGTGGATTTTCTATTTGGATATTTGCACTCAAGTTTTTTATTTTATTTTAACTTCACACTAATTTTCTTGTAATGCAAGAGGCAACTGCTGAGTTATTGGCTAAATGTGGTCAGTCAAATAATGTTGTTTCCTCGTTTGGCGTATGTTAGCTACATAAAATCCGATCAAGCGATGTGGTACCGAGCTTGCAAGACCTGCAACAAGAAGGTGACTGAAGCTGTTGGCGCCGGCTATTGGTGCGAAGGGTGCCAGAAGAACATGCGAGATTGCAACCTCAGGTCCGTAAATTTCCATACAATCCCGACTTTATATATATACATCAAATTAAACAAATAAAGCTAACCAAATTGGTTTTTCAATTCCTCCATTTACAGGTACATAATGGTTGTTAAAGTCTCGGATGCAACTGGCGAGGCATACCTCTCTGTCTTCAACGAACAAGCCGAGAAGATCATCGGATGCACAGCAGACGAGCTCAACGAGCTAAGATCTCAGGTCATCTCCAATATACAAACAATCTAATACGAGTTTCATTTTTTGGTCATTTTCGTCGATGGCCATCAATGCTCACAAACTTCTTTTTTTACTCGCAGGACGGCGAGAGTTCTTACCAAATGAAGCTGAAAGAAGCGATGTGGAGAGCTCAGCTTTTGCGGGTAAGCGTTACGCCGCACGAATACAATAACGAGAAGAGGCAGAGGATAACTGTTAGAAGTGTTGCAGCAGTAGATTATGCAGCTGAATCTAAGTATTTGCTCGAACAAATTTCCAACAAAATCAAGATTGTGTCTCATTAAATAGGTAGAGTTTTTAATCCATCCTTGTTATGCTTTTGAACCACAATTTTTCCGTATCTTTTGGTGATCTCTCGGTAATTTCTCTCAAAAGTTACATTTGCGATCCTACATCAAAGCATTGTGTTATTACTGAATGCACCTTTTGACAACGTTTGTAGATAATTTGTTCGATTATATATGTACCTTTCGCTACATGGAATGTTTTTACACTACAACGATGTGTCAATCGATCAAGCGCGATATTATTTTGCCATCCTTAGAATTGAGACAATGTACTTTTCATACAGAAGCTTTGAAGAGTATACTATCTGTATTAAGCGATGATCGCAGCTGTCCAAGCTCGATCAAGGCATTCCCGATCGCCAGGGACAAGTTTTTATCCTCGCATGCATTGTAATAGCATCCTCGATTTTTAGTATCCGCAGCTAGTTTTCCCCAAATTGAACATACACAACATTATTGTATCTGCAGAAACATACACAACATTAGTCCTGTGATCGATCGAACAATTTGAGATAACATTCGACAACAAACAACCTCGTGTGAGTCAAAGCTACATATGTTCATTGCCGGAAACTCAGAAATCCGAGAGAGTCATCCCCGTTGCTCCGAACTGTGATATGATTATTTTAGCTTCTCCGTGTTGAAAAATCGGTTAATCAATTAATAGATCGAATTTAATTTTAAATTAATTTCATAATTTTCAAAATTAATTATTCGATGAATTGAAATGCATCAGTAGTAAGGTGATTATTAATAATGTGGTTAAGTATATACATGCTGGTAAGCCATTGAAAATGCTTGTAAAAAGCCCCCTCCACCACTCCATTTGATAAACCAACAAGAAGAGTTCTCTCTTCTTCTCTTTACTCTTTTTTGATAATATTTTCCGACGACTTTCCGATTAATTATTTCGGTTAAAATTTAAAATGTATAATCATATTTTAGACAAAAAAAAGAAAAATAGGAACAAATTATAAATAGAGTATTAAAGTTTAAATATAGTATTTAAGACCATCTGCAATGGAGTATCTCCACTACTTTTTCTTATCCACGTCACGTTCTGTCTTTGCCACATATTCACAACAAAGATATTCATCCTAATTTTTTAATAAATTTTTATTTTCATATTATATATATTATTTTTTAATTATAATTTTAATTTGTAGTATTAATTATTTATTTAATTGCTTTAAAATTTATAATTATATTTTATTTAATAAATTAAATTAAATTTAATTGATTTGTTCAATAGAATTATATAATATTTGTATTTATATATTTTAAATTTCAAATTGATAAAATATATTAAATATTGGTATCATTTTGTAGAATACCAAATATTATGAATTATAAAAATACTACAAAATTTAAATATAACAATAAATTCAATATAAATTACAAATACAAAACATATATAATATATATTATATATATATAAGTGCCATGTGTTCCGGGACATATGACAATAGAATCACATCTTCTCAGCATTTCTGCTGAGACGCTGGGAAGCACCATTCTATTTATTTATTTATTTTTTAAATGATGATGTGGCCGGAGGAGATGCGCCGTTGTGGATGCTCTAATAGTTGTGGGCGTCGGATTATTGTTATACGTGCCTAGTATAATTATAACAGAAATTAGGGATGGCAACTTGGCAAGGGTGTATCTGGTTGCTATCCTTACAATTTTCTTTTATTATTATTATTATTATTTTCGTTAAATTGGATATAACATATTGTATTAATAATACAAAAATTAATTTTTTTAAAAAAAATTGTTGACTTTTTGATAAGTGAATAAAATGTATATATTATATATGGTGTGTTAATATATGTATTTTTTTAATAATATTTATAGAGAATAAAAGATTTTGAGTGGATAGAGAAAATATTATTATCCAAAAAATTATATTATTTACTATTCAATCATAACAATAATTTATAAAATTATACTCCCTCCGTCCAACAAAAGTATCTATTTTTTCATTTTAATCTGTCACATCACAAAGTATCAATTTCTTTTTAGTAACTGTACTATCTATCTAACATTACAAATATCCTTACAATTTACAATATATTACACAAATGCAATTACCTTTATATTTAGTCAATTTTACTTTATTTAACTATATCCCAATATAATACTAATATTTCTAAAACTACGTGCAAAAAACAAATGGATACTTAGTTTCGAAACGGAGAGAGTAGTATTATTTATATCACAAAATATTATATTTACTTTTTAAAAAATTCATCTTTTCTAAATAATACTTCGATAATTCAACATATTTATAATAATACCATTCAATAATTTATTTTTAAAAAATATAAAAGATAAGACATATTAAAAAAAAAAAAAAAAGCTTCAAAAATATCTATCTATATTTTGAAAAACATAAGATCGAGTTTAAGAAAACAGTAATAAAAATACTATCTCGTCCCATGTAAATTGTCTAAGTTATGTTTAATAAGTAATTAAGAAATATATTAGTAAAAATAATTATAATTATAATAATAATTATAGATTAAGGTTAAAATAATTAAATAGTTTAATTAAAATTTAAAAAATTATAAATTATAGATTATAAATTTTAAAATGTGAGAGTGTATAACATTATTTATTAAGTTAGTAGGAGTGCTAGTACATAGAAATGAGAATAAAAAATTAAAATATTATCTTTTCTTTGTTTGGTTGAGATACAAAATTCAGATGTCATTATCTAGTTTCATTTATCTCTAGCATGCTGAGAAATTGAGAAAGTGTATTGTGTATTTATTTATTTTTATCTTTTTCATTGATTTTTTATGATTTAATTTGTGTTTATTTTATTATTTTCTATACTAGTATTTAATTTTTATGATTTTTATATTATTCAAATCGCATAAAATATCGGATCTAAATTAATAATTAAAAATATAACTAAAAAATACAATAATATTTTTCATATCCAATTTATCATTTTTAGTGATCGACTTAGTTTTTTTCAAAAAATATATGTATTTTTATATTTTCTAAACATAATTATCTATTTTATCAAAGGAAATAATCAATTCTATTCTCTGTACTAAACACACAGTTAATATACTTTTGTCTGTGGAGTCTAATACTAGAAATGTTAAAAATGTACTATTTTTTATTTGTAATTTTTATTCCCCTCCTTTGTAGACGATGAGAGATACCTGAAAATTGACCTTCTACAATTAGTTTATTTATTTATTATTTAATTTTTATAAATTTCTTTGAAAATATGTATATTCTAATTCCATAAAAATTATATCTAAATTATTATTCAAATAAAAATTCTAATATAATTCATCAATTTTTTTCCTAGTTGATTCTTTCTTTTATTTTTGGCTCCCAATATATTGTTCCTTCTATATCGATTCATTTAAGTAATTGAACTTATATATATATATATATATTTCAACTGAATTCATTTAAGTAGTTGTACTTATGTATATATTGTTCAATCTATATGTTGTAAAAGGTACAGTAAAAGTAAAGCAAAAATATTTAGAATAAATACCATACATACATGATTAATTGAAAAAGTAAAATAATCATTCCAATATCAAATTAACAAACCTGCCAACTCTTCTTACACATCACAACAACATCATAATAATATCTTACAATTGGCAACCACACTACTATCTATCAAATCATTCTATTTGAATGGATCCGTATCCTAATCCCTCACGTTCTTCTTTAATCTGATTTGCCCAACTTTTAATCGACTCACCACATCTACTAACTTTGATCAATCTAAGCTTGGGAATGTCAGCAAAGTCGAGAGGGTCAGGCAATTCTTCTAATTTGAAAACACCGAAGAAACTCCCAAGCTTGAGTTCCTCAAGGTTTGGAAAGCTACCTTCCTCTGTTTTCCAATACTTCAAATCAACATAACCAACACGCAATTTTTTCAGTTGAACAAATTCCCCTTCAGTTACATTCCACTCAAGCCCTTTAACACCACCATTTTTAATTACAAGAATTTCCAAATTGGGTAATGAACCAATGGCCTCCATCTCACTCCACCAAATATTAGTACGATGTATTCTCAACTTTCTCAGAGAACGTGGGAAAGAAATGTCTTTAATGGAAACCATCCCATAAAGATCAAGTGAATCAAGCCTACACAAATGGACAAGATTGCTAAGGCAATAGTATGGCCCTTCCTCTACATCTTCCGAAAAATACTCTATTCTAAGTTTCTTCACATTCGGAATCCTCTTGTAAATCTCTTCACTACACCTAAAATCTCTTACAAAGAATAGAGTTTGTAAGTTTTCCAAAGTACAACAAGACTGGGATTTTGGAGGTGGCTCAGGTAAAACAATATTGTTACTAATATTTATATGCCTAAGTTGTGTCATCGTCCAAAACACAGAGGGTGGACTATATGTATCCCATCCATCCATGACTATAGTTTGTAGGTTCCAAAAGCATGGTAGCAAAATAAGTTTCTTTCCAATGAGCCGTACTGTTTGAATAGTAACGGAAAGATACCTGAATTGCACAAGATGCACAATTGACTCCACCAAATTGTTGTTTAACACGTACGGAGCTTGCGAGGACGACAATTCCCATAAGAGTCTACCATTCTCACTATGTAACCCCCACAATTCCAAAAAGGTACTTGACAACTTTTCAACAACGGTAAAGTTCTCCTTGCGGGCTTCCTTCAGCGACAAGTCTCGTACCAGATCATGGACACCACAATACTTTGCTTTACCTGAAACCCCTCTCTTGCGAACTATGATAAGGTTTCTATCAATAAGGTGGTCCAAGTACTCACGTGCAACGTCTTCCAAAATATTACCGTTTATCGGTTTTAGAAATCCCTCCGCAACCCAAAACCTGATGAGTTGAGAGACATCGATACTCTCATCCTCTCGAAAACGTGACATGTAAAGGAAGCAAGGCTTCAAATGAAGCGGCAAGCAAGTGTAACTCATACGCAATATCTTAAAGCAATGTTCCTCATTTTCCCAAGTTACAATTGCATTTAGATTCTCAGCAACTTGCTCCCAGCTCTCCAATGTGTTTTCTGACCTTCTCAAAACTCCACCAATTACAGCTATTGCCAACGGAAGACCTCCACAACTTGTGGCAATTTTCTTTCCTATCTCCTCCAATTCAATGGGGCAAACTTCTTCCGAGAATACCATATCACGGAGCATGTCCCAACTCTTGTCTTCCTCTAACAATTTCATTGCATAGGGAATGTCCGAGCCAAAATCATCTGCAATACCAACCATCCTCGTGGTCAACAAAACCCGACTTCCATTGCCATTGTCGGGAAGGAACCTTCTTAACACATTCCATGCCTCAATATTCCACACATCATCCAATACGATCAAGTACCTCCTCCCAAACAATCTCTTGTATACCAATTCTCCTATCTCTTCCTCACTTATTTCTCCTATCCCACTTTCTGAAAGCTCTAAGAGAATTTCCCGCAGAGTGTATGTTTGAGAGATGGTAATCCAAACGCGAATGTCAAAGTGCTCAACAACCCAATCATTATTATAAACATTAAGAGCCAGAGTAGTCTTACCAATCCCACCCATCCCCACAATTGGGATGGTTTCCAGTTTGGATCCGCTGCCAGTGAGTTTGTCCCTGATTTGAACCAAAGCATCGTCCAGCCCCACCATAGGATTCTTCGCAGTTGGAGCTGCTTGTCTTGAATGAGCAGCAGCAACAGTAGGAGGATTGAAGGATTTGTGATCCACAGCGACAATTTCATCTCTTACTTCCAACGCCCTTTCTCGCAGCACATCCATTTTTTGTATAATTGCTTGAATGTCTCTGGCGTAGGACGGCAGATCTAATTCCCCTAAATTAATGTATGGGCGAAGAACCTGGACCGACACAAAGTATTTGATGATACCCTGAGCAGCACGAGAGGCGTCCATGATTTGTGTCGCCAATGCGTCTGCAGCTTCTGATTTGCCGTGAAAGTCTTCGAGAAAAGCCATAAAGTAAGAGAGGCGATCGCGAAGCAACTGAATCTGCAGCTCGTCTAGACAATTATTCCAACCGCCAGAGGGACGCTGGATGTCCTGAAGAAGTTGGAGAAGGGAAAGGACAGCTGCGTAAGACGATGCCATGGATGAGATGGATGGATTAGCAGTAAGAATAATGTTAATGTAGAGAGTGAGAATGAGAAAGAGATTAAGGAAGGAGAAAGTCGTCTTCCAAGTCCACTCTCACTGATTATGATCAGATTTATCAAATAATAATTTTGAATTAATAATTCCAAGTGGCACAATTAGATTCCTCTTTACTTTACTAATTAATAATTTTTTATTAGTAAATATTGAGATATTATATTTTAAAAAAAAAAATTTATACACTTTTTTTATTAAAAAATCAACCTTTGATATTTTTATTATTTCTTTATTTATTTCAAATATTTTTTATAGATTATATATATATATATGTATTTTATTTTTTTAAATAAAAAAATTTAATAAAATAGAGTAAAGGTAGAGTGGAGTGGAGGCTTGCCCCCGCCACCACTCCGGCCATCTATAAAATATTTTATTCGTCTCAGTTAAATTGTTAGTAAATAATTAAGAAATATATTAATAAAAATAATTATAAATTAAGATTAAAATGATTAATTAAAATAAAGGATTATGAATTTTAAAATATAATTAAAATATATAATTATATTTTTTTTAAATGAAAATGAAAAATTACATGCTAACGGAAATAAAAATAATGGGCTAAATTAAATTTATAATTTAATAGTCGAAGGCTTATTTACTTTCATTTGCTTAATGTGCTTTTTCGGAATGCTGAAAATATATTACTACTAAACAAACTAGTATAGTTCCATTGAAATCCTATTTTTTTATTTTTAGTTCTACTAAAAAAATTATCATATATCATTTTTTGTTCTAATATTAAAATTTGCATAATACAAAAATGGCCGTGTTAGACAGCGTGGAAGATTGAAGAGGTTTCTTTTGGTGAATGTGTTCGGACATCGGAGGAAATTCTCACAGCGATCGTCGGAAGAAGTGATGGAGAAGGCAACAGACAGAAGGAGGAGGGAAGTGAGAGCGGTAATAAGTGAAGGTTTGTTCCGGTAGCAATAAGAGAAGATTAAGATATAAACATGACTGTGTTTGAACACATATCATTATTTGACTAGATAATTGTTTGAATACGAGGGTGTTTTACATAACAAGGTCGTGTTGTATTCACATCAACGCCATTTCAACTTACGTCAATAAATAATTTTTTGAATAGTCTACTTTTGATAAAAAATTTTGAGTAGGACTAAAAATAAAAAAATTGGATTTTGGGACTACTTTTGATTTTTGCTTTTTGATTTATTTATTTTTATTACTTTTTTTCTTTTAATATGCGTTGATATTGTGGCCCGGAACAATTTAAGTCTAACTCATTGTCCGATTGTCCGACCCGATCCAACCAACAACATGACACGTAATTCAGATCCTACATTTTTTTATATAAATTTCGAACTTTTGGATAATATACTATAAATTCTAATCAATTTAAAATGTAATATATTAATATATTTTATTATATATATTTAAATTTTTATGATATAGGGGTTGAAGCGAGCTCCTCGGACATGGTACAACAAGATTGATGTGTATAGAATTTGAACCTTGCTCGCAACCATTGCAGGGATTTGCTTCTTGTCCCCGACAAGTATAGCGTGGCGAAGCCCCAGGGAGCTGCAAGGGAATACACGATTCGCACTCTTTAAGCTGCGCAGCTTCGTCGATTATTACCAGCTCGAGTGGCTGTTTCATTCCTTCAATGTATAGTTTCGCCGAGCTTGAAACAGTGCAGAATATTAAACATGCATTTTCTAGGCAAAAGTTTCGAATTTTGAAAGATTCATTATCTGTTGAAAACTCGAGTGTTTCCAAAAGCTTCTTGAGTTGCGAAAGACAGTCGAGCCTAACTTTGCACAAACTTCTCGTCGAACCAAGTAGCGCGCGCTTCAGCAGCTGCCCTTCATCTGTTTTCTTCTCGGCATAATCGTCGATTTCTTTTCCAAGCTCATGGAGCTTATCAACAACTCTAACTAAAAGATGTATCGAGGGGCGGATGCACCTTTAAATGATTCGTGTCACATGTCACAGTTGATTTTACTCCGCTAAAAAAAAATAAATTATTATCTAGTAACTGTGTTATTGTTAAAAATTTTCAGTATCTTATTTAAAATTTAACGTGCTATTGTTATCCAATTAATTTAAAAAGTAGTGCCTTATTTAAATATAAAATGCCACCATTACCTATTGAATGTCAATTTTCCAAATAAAGTCGAAATCAATCATTTTTAAACCATGAAAGAGCATCGACAACAATATAAATTGTTTGTATGTTTCTTAATAAAATCGAGTCTTTTAATTCATTTTGGCTTTAAGTTAATATATTGTGGTATTAGTGAAAAATATTTCTAGATCTATATCTAGATGTATCATCTCTCAAAACATACCAAAAATACCAATGGTAATACTTGTTTTGACCGTCTCAGATGTAGATCATTCCGATCGAATCAATTAACCACATTATCGTCTTGTTGTGTGCATTTTTTGTCTTCTTAATTTTCCCAATTGCCTAACAATTTTTGGTATCTTTTGGTGATCTCTCTTGGTGATCTCTCTCTATATCTACTTACATATTAGTAATTTTTTTTCTTATGTTTATAATCATATTTCAAAAAAAAAAAAAAAACAAATTATATAGAGAAATGAAAATAGAAACAAATTATACGCGATGAATGGAGTATTAAAGTTTAAATATATTTTAATAGTTGTGGGAGTGTGATTACTGTTATAATTGCCTAGTATAATAGTATAAGAGAAATTAGGGATGGCAAGGGTGTATATGGTTGTTATCCTTACAATTTCTTTTTTATTTTATTTTATTTTATGAATTTTATGCTTTGTTTATTATTATAATATATATTTTTTTGTAAATAGGATATAAAAAATTGTATTAATAATATAAAAATTAATTTTTTTAAAAAAATTGTTGATTTTTTAGTAAGTGAATAAAATGTATATATTATATATAGTGTGTTAATATATGTATATATATTTTTTAATAATATTTATAGAGAATTTTACTATTAAAAAATTATACTCCCTTCTCCCTCAATTCATTATCTTCTTATTACTTTTAGTACAGATATTTTAGCATATTAATATTTTATTGAATTATACTACAAATGAAGTATGTAAAATTAATAATGTGGTAATAAAATAGAAATATTTTTGTATTTATATAAGAGGTAATTTTAGTAAAATAGAAAAGTGAAGATTTTGAGTACAGAGAAAATATTATTATTCAAAAAATTATTTTATTTACTATTAAATCATAACAATATTTTATAAAATTATAGTACTCCCTCCGTGCCAGAATTATAGTAAAAAGTACGGGTAAAAGACTTTTTTGCCTTTCTGAGTGTATTATCGTAAAAAATAGTTACAATTTTGTAATAATAATAAAAAAGTAATGGTAGTTTATAGTGATATGGTTATTTATGAAAATGAGACTGTTGTTTTGGGACGGACAAAAATAGTAAACAAGACTATAGTATTGAGACAGTGGAATATTATTTACGTGACAAAATATTATATTTACTTTTTAAAAAATTCAACTTTTCTAAATAATACTTCGATAATTCAACATATTTAGAATAATACTATTCAATAATTTATTAAAAAATATATATAAAAGATAATGACATATTAAAAAAAAGCGTCAAAAATATCTATAATGATGCTACTCAACTTCAAGAGAACAAATAATAAAGAATACTATTCCTTCCCATGTAAATTGTCTAAGTAAAAATAATTATAATATAATAATAATTATAAATTTTTATTAAAATAACTAAATAATTTAATAAAAATTAAAAAAAATTATAAATTATAAATTTTAATATGGAATTAAAATATATAACATTATTTATCTAAATTAGTAGGAGTGGGTGGGTGTACAAATCGACATAGAGAAATAAAAATATCTTAAGAGTACTTAGTACATAGAAATGAGAATAAAAAATTAAAGTATTATATTTTCTTTGTTTCGTTGAGACATAAAATTCAGATGTCATTAACTAATTATATCTATCTCTTATATATAGAGAAATTGAGAAAGTACGTTGTTTATTTATTTATTTATTTATTTTTATCTATCTTTTCCATTGAAATTTTACGATTTAATTTGTGTTTATTTTACTATTTTCTATACTAGTATTTAATTTTTATGATTTTTATATCATTCAAATCGCATAAAATATCGTATTTAAATTATTAAATTAAAAATATAACAAAAAATACAATAATATTTTTCATATCCAATTTATCATTTTTAGTGATCGATTTAGTTTTTTTTTTCAAAATGTATATATATTTTTACATTTTCTAAACTTAATTATCTGTTTTATCAAAGGAAATAATCAATTCTATTTTTTTTGTACTAAACACATCGTTAATTTCTTTTGTCTGTTGAAATCTAATAATAGAACATTTAAAAATATATTATTTTCTATTCGCTATTTTTATTCCCTTTCTTTGTAGGTGATAAGAGATAAATGAAAATTGAGCTCCTACACGGTCAGCCCCCGGACTCTATTTTCATTTTTCTTAATTCTTCTATATATTATAAAAGTGCAGTAAAAGTAAAGCTAAAATATTTAGAATAATTACCAAACATGATTAATTGAAAAAGTGAAATAATTATTCCAATATCAGATGAACAAACCTGCCAACTCTTCTTACACATCACAACAACATCATAATAATATCTTACAATTGGCAGCCACACTACTATCTATCAAATCATTCTATTTGAATGGATCCGTATCCTAATCCCTCACGTTCTTCTTTAATCTGCTTTGCCCAACTTTTAATCGACTTACCACGTACAATAAGGTTGATCAATCTAAGTTTGGGGATGTCAGCAAAGTTGAGAGGGTCAGGTAATTCTTGTAACAATAAACGCCAAAGCTCGAGTTCCTCAAGACTTGGAAAGCTACCTTCCTCAGTTTTCCAATGCTTCAAATCAACATCACTAACACACAATTTTTTCAATCGAACAAATTCCCCTTTAGTTACATTCCACTCAAGCCCTTGAACACCCTGAAAACCA